AGGCTGCCGGAGAGCCAATCTCACCACAATCCCGTCGTTTGAACATCTCTTTAGGTGGGTCATCGTCGTCCATGCTCTGTTGTTACAGCTCGAAATCCGCTTTTCATCGCCGGCAACACCGTCCCAGCCGTCAGCCTGCGCACACAGACACAGATTTCGAACTCACGTTCAATTGTAGTGAGCCACCAGACTGACTCTCGACGCTCGATGCCCGACGCTTGTCGCCTGATGCTTGCCGCCTGCCGTCAGCCATCGGCCACCAAAGCAATCATCATCTGCCGCCGTGACTTCTCTCCAACATAATGTTCTCTCTTTGTCTGTCTTCTCTCTCATCAGATCTCTCACACAGTATGTCTTCTCTCCCCCATCGGCACTAACGCATAGCCACCAGTCCGCCGCCCCCAGCACCGCCCCGCCGTCCGCCGCCCCCAGCATCGCCCCGCCGTCCGCCACCACATCCACCCTCATCCTAGCCGATGATATTAGTGTTTGGATTTTAAGATTAGAGATGTTGTGTTCTGAAAACTTGACAATTAAAAGGGGACTGATTGCAATTAAATCATATTTTATATTTTATAATCAGGTATGTTAGGCATATGTGTAATTTAATAAAAGTACGATACAAGTACAATATTAGTACATAAAATGCAGGTTATGGCATTTGAAAATGCATGTTAAAGAATTACTAGTATTTTTTTCAAAATGATAGGAATATTATAAATTAAAAAAACTCAAAGCGATCAAACATCGAATACATCATAAGAGCGGGCTCCGAATAAAACATAAAAATAGGAGGACACGCATGAGAGCAGCCTAAAGACCCACAGACGGGCACAAACTAAATCCAAGCTAATAAAAACAGAAATAGAATCACAACCACTGCATGAGCCTAGCTATGACACCAAGTCTGGACAACAAGAAAAAACAATAAGCTAAGCAAAAGCCAACCGCAGGAACAATAGATCAAAGAAATCAAATTAAGGAAAATTCATGCCATTCTGACATAGCTCTTCTGATGATCACCTGCACTGGAATGTTGGTATCTTCAAAAAGCCACAAGTTCCTTGAACGCCAAAGCCACCATAGTAAATATGTAGTAAGCTGAATTCTTGCTTCGAAAACTTCAAGATTCCCTATGGAACATATCTGATTCCACCAAGAGTCAAAGTTATTATTAAGATCATTGATTCATTCCCAATGCATAGGCCCAGTCTGCCAGAGCTTTTTAGCTTTAACACAATGAAAGAAAGTATGATCTATTGTTTCAGGACTTTCCCCACAACTCTTGCAGATGATATCAACCTCCAGGCCTTTAGTTCTGAGATTCACCTTGACAGGAAGTGTGCTAGAGCAATATTTCCACAAGATATGTTTGATTTTACCATTGATTTTTAGCTTCCAAGTAATATTTCTGGCTGTATTGGTTGCACTAGATTTGTCACTGCCCTCTGGAAGATCCAAAATTAGGACCTTCTAAGAGATAAGATAAGAGTAGGTTGAAGACACTGAAAACTTCCATTTTTGCCAAAGTCCCAGTAGCATCTATCATGTCTGAGAGGATTGAGATAGGTAATATTCGGAATGGCTTCACTGTCAGCCTCACTAAACACTTGTTTAACCAACCAAGAGTTCCAACTATGACCATCAGCATTCAGTAAGTCTTTGACATAGATCAGGTGACCTCTGGCAATGTTGAGCAATGTGGGTCTGAGAGTTGGAAGGTTGGGAACCCAATTAATATCCTCTATTCTAGTTGAAACTCCATTTCTAACCTCAGTTCTGAAACCTTAGGCAAATATAGGCAGAGTATCAAGCCATCCACCCCAAAGACAAGAGCTATTTTGGGTTTTGACTGTATCAAAGATTGAACATGATGGGAAATACCTGCTTTTCAAGACTCTATTCACAAGGAGATCAGGTTGTGAGGTGATTCTCCACAGCTGCTTGCAGATAAGAGCTTGGTTGAAGAGGAGTATAACCTGAAATCCCAGACCACCTTCTCTTTTGGGGATTGTGACTTTGTTCCAAGCTCTCCAGTGAATGCCTTTGTCTTGGTTTCCTCCTTTGCACCACCAGAATTGAGCACAAAGCTTGGAAATCTCTTTCCCCACTGAAGCTGGAATTCTAAAGGAAGACATTGTGAACACTAAAAGTGCATTCAGGATAGCTTTAATCAAGGTGTCCTTGCTAGCAGCAGCTAATGATTTGTTCTTCCAGCCTGTTAACCTTGCCTTTACTGTATCCACCACATAGGCAAAGGCTTCTTTTTTTGATCTGCTGAGGCCAAGGGCAGACCAAGATGTTTAGTTGAATGGTGTTCTTTTATATCTCCAAGAGAATGACAGATGCTGTTGATTAAAAAGGAAGGAGTATTCTTGCTGAAAAAAGCAGATGACTTAGCCATGTTCACTCTTTGGCCAATGAAAAGTCTGTATTGTTCCAGCAAATCAGAAAGAACATTTGTTTGGTCGACTTCAGCCTTCGAAAATAGGATAATGTCATCTGCAAACATTAAGTGAGATAAAGATGGGCCTTTCCTTGCAAGTTTAATTCCTTTGAGCCTCCCATTATTCACTTCATTTTGGATCAGGGCTGATATCACTTCAGCAACAATGATGTATAAATATGGTAATAAAGGGTCACCTTGGCGAATTCCTCTGGATGGGTAGACTAGGCCACTCACATTGCCATTGACATTGAAGAAAAAGGATGTAGAGGTAAGGCAGGCCATAATCATCTTAACAGACCTCCAGTCAAAGCCCATCTGCAGCATTATTGTGTGGATACAACTCCACTCAATAGTATCGAAGGCTTTCATAAGGTCGAGCTTTAAAGCCATGAAGTAGTTTCTCCCTGTTCTGTGTCTGTTAAAGAAGTGGAAGGCTTCATGGGCTATGATGACTTTGTCTAGTATTTGTGTGTCTTGGAGAAAAGCAGATTGACTGTGGCTGATGCAAGATTCTAGGTAGTGTTTGAGCCTGAGGGCTAGAATTTTGGAGAAAGTTTTGTAGATGACACTGCATAAGCTTATTGGTCTGTATTGGTGAAGGAAATCTGGATTTTTGCATTTTGGGATGAGAGTCACCAATGTATGATTCCAATATTGCAGGAAAGAGCCAGCATCAACAAAGCTTTTAATAGCTGCCACAACATCAGGTTTCACAATAAACCAAATGTTGGTAGAACAAAGCATTCATATCTTCATCTCCTGGGGATTTATTAGGTGGAAGACTGAATAGGGCCTGCTTAATTTCCTCTTCTTCCACCGGGTTCAGTAAAAGCAGGTTCATATCAGGAGAGATGGATTTAGGAATCAGATGGATAATAGAACTTCCATCCCAGGATCCTTCAGAAGTGAATAAGGATCCAAAGTAGTCAGTGATGTGGTGCCCAATCTCTGCTTGAGTTTGACATACTATGTGGTCCCTAGTTAGGAGTCTGGAAATAGAGTTCAGTTTCCTTCTTTGCCTAGTATAGGCATGGAAGAATTTAGTATTGGCATTCCCTTCTTTCCACCAGAGTAACTTGGCTTTTTGCTTCCAAAAATTTTCTTCAAAGCTGTGAGCATC